CCATCATGTTCTCCACTCTTGCTTCGTCTTGGTTTGTCTCCTTTGTCGGTCTCGTCTCTGTTGCGAAGTCCGTCCATGCGGCTACCTATGCAGTCAGCGACACTTTCATTGGAACAGGGTTCTTGAACGGCTTCACCCATGAAGCCATTGCTGATCCTACTCACGGAAGAGTCACGTTAGTTCCTTTTCAATGTCCTATCGCAGTCACTGACCTTGTGCTGACACCCTAACCTTTTGTCACCAGCTATGTCGACCAAGCAACAGCGGTTGCGCAAAACTTGACTTACGCTTCTGGAGATCACTTCATTATCCGAGCGGACTATAAAACTACGTTGAGCCCAAGTGGACCAGGACGCAAAAGTGTCAGGGTACAATCAAAGAAGCAATGGACTACACATGTCATAGTAGCGAACGTGAGACACATGCCTGTGGGATGCTCGTAAGTCTAGAGGTTTCTTTGGGCTTGTCAGATTGCTGATGAAGACGGATTCTGTGTCGTACATTCAGTACTTGGCCTGCTTTATGGACTACGCGGTGAGTTGATCCACGATGAATCCCATTTCAAACTCTTTTTGACGCGAATGTTGGCCACAGAACCTCCGGTTAGTGACGATGCAAATGTGGGCGAAGAATACGTTATTGAATCCATTTATCACAGATTGGCCAAATGCAGGCGAGGTTGACATCATAGAAGGTAATGTTTGTGGCCGGCACCCTTCAGATGAATTTGCTCATTAATTGTTCTCTCAAAGGCGTCAATGATGTTTCACCTAATCATTCCACCCTACATACGACGGACGGTTGCACAATGTCAGCATCCAATATGGTGCAGACAGGGTATGCCTCGATGTTTTACTGTTGATAAATGTGTACTAACATACTATGTAGCTCACTGGGTACCACCAATTGCTTCTGGCAAGTAAATGGGTACGAAAATCTTACTTTTTGTATGAGACGCAACTCAGCTTTCTTCACAGAAATGCTGGATGTGGAGTTGCGGTCAATAAACCAAACAACTACGGCAATGCTTTCAATAACATTGGTGGAGGCTGGTAAGTCTACACACTTTTGTATCGTTTTAAGAGATACTGACCCTCTGACAGGTATGCCATGGAGAGAACCCCCACTAAGATTAACCTCTGGTACTGGGGCCGCAATGAGGCAAATATCCCTGCTGATGTGAAGAATGGTGCCTCTACAATCAATACCAGTAACTGGGGCACCCCCTATGCCAACTTTGTCAACAACAGCTGCGATCTTAACTCCAAGTTTGGACCTAACAATATCATTATTAACTTGACACTCTGTGAGTAATGGTCGATGAAGACAAAGATTTGGATTAGAGCTAACGACAATCTTCACGTGTAGGTGGTGACTGGGCTGGAGCCGTCTATCCTTCTTCATGTCCCTCGACATGTGTTGGTGAGTTCCTTCGTGCTTCC